ATACGGACGCCAGGAAGCCAATCAAAGGTACTTCTTGGGGCTGCACTGGAGGTGGGCGATTTTGCTTGGAGCAACTCTGTTGTTATTCAAAATCCAGTAACATATTTGAACGGAGAATCATCTTTCCTGCCTAGGGTCAATTATTCTGGAGAAGAAAGTATGTAGTAAGGATTTGGAGCTATAAAAAGGTAGGTGACAGGACACACTGTTCTAACTTCGAATCGCTCGCTTGCATGTAAACCCTACGTGTAGGTACAACATGGAAGTGGATGACTGTCTTACAATGGCAATGTCGGATCGCCCCTATGGTAGCCCCGATGGCTGTGCGGCCACCACATCCCCAGTATCCAACTCGTCAGCAACAGTCAGCTCAAGTTTTGAGGGTCTCCGCCATCTACCTCTGCATGCTCAGAGACGCAAGGTACATGTGTGTGCACTGCTTTCCGGAAATGCATAGATGGACCCACTACACAACCATACTGCAGTGAAACCTGTCAAGGCGACCACCTGTCCTACAAGACCACCGAAACCAGAATCAAGGGATGCTATTTCCAGTTAAAATGGCCCTGCATAAGGAGACTACCTGGTAACAAAGACCACGTTTTGAAGGTCCCTTGAGCGAGGTCGTCTTACACAGGTTTCACTGTAGTACTGTCTAGGGTCTGCATCAACTTCAATAGCTATGGTTGGTCATTATAAAAGAACTGTCGGTTGAATAACTATGGTTGGTCATTATAAAAGAACTGTCGGTTGAATAACTATGGTTGGTCATTATAAAAGAACTGTCGGTTGAATAACTATGGTTGGTCATTATAAAAGAACTGTCGGTTGAATAACTACGGTTGGTCATTATGAAAGAACTGTCGGTTCAATAACTATGGTTGGTCATTATAAAAGAACTGTCGGTTGAATAACTATGGTTGGTCATTATAAAAGAACTGTCGGTTGAATAACTACGGTTGGTCATTATAAAAGAACTGTCGGTTCAATAACTATGGTTGGTCATTATAAAAGAACTGTCGGTTGAATAACTATGGTTGGTCATTATAAAAGAACTGTCGGTTCAATAACTATGGTTGGTCATTATAAAAGAACTGTCGGTTGAATCATGGCCAGCAATCGAGGACATCTGAGAGTTGTAATTTTTGTACTCCTCCGAGGTGTGATTTTTGGCGTGCTGGGCCAAGCACAAGGAAGCCATCTGCAAAAAAACTGCAGAAAATGGTTGTTGTTTGATCCTTTGGTGTAATCTTTGTTTCTAGTCGAAGCTAGTTGCTGTTTGGAGCAGAAACGCTGAAATTGACTATTTTCTGCATGTACTCATACATGTACTCATGTACTCAGGCATGCAGTCTTACTCGTATTTTAGCTCTTTTTCCGGAATGGATGCTGCTCTGCGCCCCTTGGTGAACATTTCCTGCGCTCGTGGAGCAGCTGAAAAGGACCACTGGTATGTCTAGTTCCTGGTTTGAAAGTGGAGAGTCGACTTTTGTGCCTTCAAAAAGGAGTAGAGAGCGATAAAGGTACGTCTGTGGCTTATGTTTGAGTGCTCCTCGTACATTTTTGATCGTGATAGAAATTCTCAGACCAAAGTCAGACCAAAGTCAGCGCGATGATGGCCGTACAGTTTTCTTGTGGATTTTTTAGTTGTTTCATCTCGTATCTATGTCAGTATCGTAATGGTGAAGTGGAGAGGGTGATTTTCTTCCTCTAGGCTTCGTTCGGCCGACTTTGCTTCGTCCTCGTTGAAAAGTGATCCTGAAAAAAAGGTCGATTCGCAAAATTATGTTGATTTTGAATGTACGTGATGACATACGATTGCTGGCTATGAACTATGGTTGGTCATTATAAAAGAACTGTCGGTTCAATAACTATGGTTGGTCATTATAAAAGAACTGTCGGTTGAATAACTATGGTTGGTCATTATAAAAGAACTGTCGGTTGAATAACTATGGTTGGTCATTATAAAAGAACTGTCGGTTGAATAACTATGGTAGGTCATTATAAAAGAACTGTCGGTTGAATAACTATGGTAGGTCATTATAAAAGAACTGTCGGTTGAATAACTACGGTTGGTCATTATAAAAGAACTGTCGGTTGAATAACTATGGTTGGTCATTATAAAAGAACTGTCGGTTGAATAATTATGGTAGGTCATTATAAAAGAACTGTCGGTTGAATAACTACGGTTGGTCATTATAAAAGAACTGTCGGTTGAATAACTATGGTTGGTCATTATAAAAGAACTGTCGGTTGAATAACTATGGTTGGTCATTATAAAAGAACTGCCGGTTGAATAACTATGGTTGGTCATTATAAAAGAACTGCCGGTTGAATAACTATGGTTGGTCATTATAAAAGAACTGCCGGTTGAATAACTATGGTTGGTCATTATAAAAGAACTGTCGGTTGAATAACTATGGTTGGTCATTATAAAAGAACTGTCGGCGTGGAGAAAGTAACATAAACATAACTAAAGCATGAACACACCATTTGAGCTGTGACTACCCCTCCCCACCCCTCCCCTCCCCCCCCCCCCCCCACACACACACACACATACATGTACCATGATCAGTAGGGCTTGTGGGATCCAGCAGGTGTTCTTATGATAACCAAACAATTGGATCCGATTGTACCATAAAAGGACGCGAGCAATAACGACTCGGCAACCAAACCGGTGGAGGTGCAGAGTTTATTTGCAAAACAATAGAGCTGCTACATATCTGTCGCATGACTAAACCATGGACAGCCATGTTGGTTCCACTGTCCACATGTCATGTACACTTTCGACGCAAATGCGGTCGCACAAAGAAGATCATCAATCTAGTGTTAATTGGGAGAACTTGATGAAGACACATGTATAACAAAAAGAGAATAATAAACAAGCTATTAGGAAAGAAAAAAGTGAAGTTGCTGTGTGGCTATAGTGAAGATGCTGTATGGCTATAGTGAAGATGCTGTGTGGCTATAGTGAAGATGCTAGGAGGGTTCATCATGAACATGAGAGTGGGAGGGAAAGAGAGTTTTGCTCATACACATTGAGTCGAATAGCGGAATGTTGATCTCTAAGTTCCACGACAATTCTTGGTTTCTGTCTTCAGATGAACACCTTGTCAGTACCAGATGGACTCCGAGATCCACTGCTTATCGAACATCTGTTGAGTCCAGCTCCGCCATCAGAAGATTAGTCATATAGATGATTGTGTGTTTACTGCTTCATCTAGTCACCCAAAGACTCTTCCCCTCGGTCTTGCGTGGTGGATGAAGACTTCTTTCTCTCACATCTTCACTTTCGGCATGATGTAGATTGCGGATGAGTCAGCAACTAAATCTCTGTTGATGAGGCAATGTCATCACTACTGCAAGCCAAACGAGTATTGCACCAAATATTCACACTTTCTCAAAAGCAGCTGGTTTGCGCTGACAAAATTTAAGTTCATGGAGCACTGTGACCATACCCCTACACTCACGGTGTTAAAGCATGATTTCACACTGGTCAAAATCTAACAGGGGCTTGCTGTCCTTTCACACTATACCAATTATGCACTAGTCTCTTTATATCAGTTCGTTTGGCAGCATGATACACACAGCTTCCTGCACACAATGTTGGTGGTAAATTTCAGGCTATTGACACGATTGGTTGTAGATATCCTTCAAATATTTCATGTGATGATTTTTGGTTACACCTTTTAACATTCCAAGTGGCACAAAGCAGTAAGCACCAGCGCAGCCAGTCCTTGCTACAATCATCATGTACTTCACCACTAGTCAGGACCATCAGCAGCAGTTTATGATTGTTCCGGCAGTAACATGGCCTTTCATACAGTTTGTGTATGATATAGCGGGTACACATGCCCTCCACCGTAGTAAGCATGACTTGTGTTGGTGGCCAAAACAGTTGGTCCGGTGGTAACCTGATCGACGCGGACCGGTTCAGGCGGGCCTGCTAGTCCTTTGCTATCATTATCATCACTAGACATCAGGGTTTTTTCGCCTTTCAGATCAAATTATGTAAAGGTGTACATGTATATCTGCAAGGGTACTGCAAGGATATACATGTATATGTATATCTGCAAGGATATACATGTATATCTGCAAGGGTATATACAATGTGATCTATACATATATATATCTGCATGGGCAATTCTGGCAATCCTAGATGATTGACGTTTGCCCTGCTAACTCTTTGAAAAGGTGGTTTTGCCACATGAAGATGTACATGTACACACCGGACACCAGAAGGTTTGGTCTGTCGCTATGGTTACACATGAGCTGCCATCGTGCAATAAAGAGCAATTTGTTTTAAATTACTTTTATTTATTGCATTGACGGAAAGAGGCTGACCTCATGGAGGATTGGAACCGTTTGGCAAAGTATTTTGCAGGAAAAACCTCTATGTCCCTCCTCCCCCCCCCCCTCCCACACACACAGACACACTCTACAGCATTTCTTGTTATCATCAGCTGCCACTAGTGACTAATCGCGGCTACTATTGACAGGGAAACACAACCCTCTACCTCAGCCCCCTCCCCCTCCCCCCCCCCCCCCCCCAATAAAATCTTGCCCCTTGTACTCTGTACATGTAGGCAAATTCAAAGTTCGACAATAATCAATTATCAACTCTTTTAATACGTAGAGAGTAATTGCTTCAAACTATTAAAGGGGGAGTTCGAATTGTTTTCATCAACTGTTCGAACATATTTTTTAAAGAGATTAGTTGAAGAGTCCGGCCATTAGAACGGTTTCTATCATTTTTTCAGTGGAATTGTTATGGCGATGACGACATCCGATCAGATCGACTCCACGTACTACGTGACGTAGCTATTCCAAACTCTTCGGAACTAATCCACCTCTCCCATCGGATGAGGTTGCAGAGTTTCCAGGAGTTTCGTTTTTCTGAAGAGGGCAATAAGGCCAATTCAGAAAAACGAAACTCCTCGAAAAGTCAAAGAATGACAATTCGAACGAGCCCTAAAAGTCAACCGCCATATAGACACAGGTTTAGTTTAGCAACTCATTTCAGGTGTATCAATTTCGTCCATTTATAGGGCATAAATCAATTACAAATCAGTGCTTCAATCAAATCAGATCCAGTGCCGGTGTGGTGGCGGTCAAGTTCCAAGGGACAGCATTGGTCAAGAACGAAAAATCCGAGTGACAAATTTAAAAGAAAAAGGAGAAAAGTATAACGTGGTCCTATTCTGGTGATAACAAGCTACCTATGAACAGAGAGAGATGGGAGCAAACATATCCCGGTGTGGTTGTTGTTGAATTTCAAACACTGGTACATTGTGTGAACAGTAATAACTAGTAGCGCTTCGTCACAAGGGTTCACGTGATACGTTCCGTGTTCATTCAGATCCAAAGATGACAGAGGTAGCAGGACTGTTAGCAACGTCGCCTGGCTTACGTAACTGCAATGTCTTCAGCAGAACGTTTCGAGTGCCGCGCCGGCTTCGATGAGCAGAAGGGAGACGTGTGTATCGGTGGAGGTCAGCAACGGCAGTGACGATGCCCGCCACTCGTTTGAATCCAGGTTGAACTCGTCAATATTACAGAGTCGATGGAATCCATCGTGGCCTCCACCCAGCAGTACCTTATTGCCCTGCAGCAATGCGGACGCGCATGTTCTGGGCGTCTTCAGCGGCGGCAATGATCTCCATGTTCTGGCGACTGCGTCGTAGTACTCGGCAGTAGCCTGGACACCGGACGTGTTATGACCGCCAAACACCATCAGGCGCGTGTCCACAAACACTACGCTGGGTGAGATGCGTGCACATTGCATTTCGGGCAACATGTACCATTCGTTCTCCTGGACATCGTAGCACTCAACGGAGGAGAGCGCACTGCCGCCTACACACCCACCAACAACAAACACCAGTGAGTCATTGGTAGCAACGCCAGCTGCGGCGCGAGGTGTCGACATTGGAGCAGCCAAACACCAGCGGCGTAATCGGAATGAGAACCTCTCCACAAGGTCCAGAGTTTGTCCGGAAGTACATCCCCCGATCACATAGATATCCTTGTTGAAGATTGTGGCTATGGGGCTGTCTCGTTGCGCTAGCATTGCCGGTAGAGAGGTCCACTTTCCGTTGTCGTGAATAATGTCTGTAGACATGGCAGTGTCCAGGGACTTCCCCCGCGATGCCCCTCCAATGACATAGATCACGTTATTGTCACTGCTGATCACTGCGGGGTTACTTTGTCCAACCAAGCGCCGTCCAACTGTTCTCCAATTCAGCCGCTGTGAATGGCCCTCTTTGGACAAATCCAGGCATTCGATTCCCGGCACGTCACTCGGTGTGGAGCTGCCGGTCGTGACAGCCAAGAGCCGAGCTGCTGGTTTTGGCTGATAGACACGTGGCGAGTACTGGTGGAACATGGCGCAGTTGAGCTGCAGACGTGGATCTGGTGCAGCCTGGCGGTGGTGAACCAGAGCAGACTGCACTTGCTCTCGAAACGCTGGATCTGCTATCCGATCGCACAGGGGCAGTATGCGATAGGTGAGGAACTCTGGCGAGACGAACGGCAACCGCACCAGAGAAACAAGGCTGGAGAAATAGTCAGGCCCTTGGCGCTGTGCAGCTCTGTGGTGCTGTACCCATTTCAGGACCGTCTGAAACACGCACTCTTCCGAGTACAGAACAAGACGATTACTACCCAACAGCGCGTGGAATAGCTCAAACGGCATCGACATCAGCTCCGGGCACTCGGTGATAGTTTCAAACTGCTCTTCACACAAGGAGAAGAGCATCTCGATGTAGACAGCGGATGACTGTAAACGATTGCGCAGACGCTTCAGATGCGCAGCAATCAGCATACGGAGGACGACAGCAGCTGGCTGTTTCACCAGATACTGCCTGACTAGTTGCTCCACTTCCTTGAAACCAAGCGAAATGGCCGCCTTGAGTAAGTTCTCCACGCGCTCCACGGTGATAGCAAGCACACCAGTGTAGGCAAAGTCAAGAACAGTACGGACCGAATTTACGCCGACATCATTCACATCTATGGACATGATTGGCCGAGACAGGCTCAAACCCTCATCACACTGCATACCCGCCGCCGACTCTCCGCCAAGGCTGAACCCATTTCCACTGTCCGCACCGTCAGAGCCGGCACTGCTAGTTTTGCCGAACAGGCGAGGTGTGGATGGTGTGGAGAGGGTTATGGATCTGTGGCGACTGGGAGAAGAACTCTCCGCGGACAGCGATCGTTTAATCAGCTCCCGAGTTGGAGTGACCGCGGTTGGCGATGCCGGACTGCTTGCGAATATAGCGCGCAGCTGTGGACTGTGTGCTGCTAAAACGACTCGGTGGGCCAGTATTACAGTTGAATGAGATGATGTGGATGGATGCGGTGTCGCTGGTGACATATCGCGATCTGTAACATTGATGGCCACGTCGCACAGCTCCTGATTACGATACAGCTCCTGCTGCAGCACGGACGATGGGACCTTGCTGTGCACCGCTCTCGGGCAGAAGACGCTACCCTTGCTCTGCTGCATAATGCCACAGTTGGTGCAGGCGCTGTTTGCAGGGCATGTACGTGCACACGGCTCCATACCGGGTACGGCGTCCATTTTGTTGTCATAGGCAACCAGAAGAGGCGCAGGCAGGCAGCTCAGTCGATGCACCTACACAGGACAAGAGAATAACACGATAACACAACAGTAATTAGAAATCAGCTTAGGTCACTGTTAACCGACGTGTCCAGTGCTAGCTGGGATGTACTCACACCTCATGATCTGATAACCTAGCAATTCAGTGATACTATTACGACTTAGCATGCACGGTGCTAATGCTAACACCACTACCTCATACACTGTCCTGTTGTATGCTCTGCCTCTGGCCCTCACTGGCTCTTCCCGTACCATCCACTACGTTCCGGCACTGAACAACGTCACTCTACAGTAGAGCATTACCGGCTACAACTCAGTGTCTATCTCTTGTTGTTTGTGTTGATAGGGTACAAACTGGCTTCAGTTGTGCCAAGTCTGGTAAACAGAGAGGGAGACATTAGTGAAATTCACCACCATGACTGGTGCTTATGATGGAGAAGATGTGTACAGTCATCTACATGCACATGGCATTGCAGACGTACAGTATGACAAGCAGACGCTCTTGTTGAGCACCGTGACTGTATCAACATCATTTTCACACATTATGCAGTGCTGAAATACTAGTATGGCTGAATCTCAGTTTTGAACACCTTGGACAGAACATACTTTTCATTGCCATTGGACACAAATAGCTACTGTTGAGAACCCTATGCGCACATCACCAACAAGACGGAGTATCTCTGATCTAAACACTAGATTACAATATGTATGATCCTTGCATTGGACCGGGTCCACTATAGAGCTTATGTGAATGATTTCATCCAGATTGGCAAACGGACACACGTATGCGAGCGTGAGTCGGCAATTTTTCGAATGAGTGCTCCGTTCAGCATGAGCTGCTAGTCGCGAGTCTGGGACTTCGCCGAAGCAGCAGCTCAACTGATGATGGTAATCGCATAACCTCTATACAGGCATTATGATACAGAGCTCCACTCAGTACACTCAGAACCTGCCGACATCTCTCAAACTAGAGGAAACCTCCATACGTTCAGAGCACAATGCGTTTTGAGGCTGAACGAATACGAATGGTTGCACAATGCACACGAGTCTCAACACATTACATGCATCCAATCAAGACTGAGAGCTGTACAGTGTACTACTAGTCGCTGTTGGCACTGTAATGTCAGTACGCCTCTCTAAACAAGTATTTCATGCAGGACAGATTCAGCATAATCCCCCGGTGGGGTTCCAACCTGGACTACAATCCATGCATGTGCTCCATATAGAATTGGATGCCCGAAAACTGGCTTATGGAATTTCTGAGTCACAGCATTGTGCTATTTGCAGTGCTGTGTCCAGTTTCTACACCACACTCACAGGATCAAAAACGTTTCACGTTGAGCTGTACAGTTGCTACGAGAGGTGGCATTTTCCTGGCAGGTTTTCGAAGTGGAACACACGTAGAGTCTGTCCTCCACATAATGATAATCACTCCGATCATCGTACATGTGACATAAACACACATGACACGTCACCAATCGCAGTCAACCTTTACTCCTCAGAGGCTTGTCTCACTTTCGTTCTTGACTTGAGGAAGCCACACCCGTTACCTGCAAAATGGCTATGACTGAGTCAGAGTATGACCACTGACACTGTCTGTCTGTCACAACTAACTTACTTTGCTCCCAACTCGACAAAGCAAAAGGACAGAGATCTACGCGACAATTTCCCTCACTCAGTAGAGCCAGTCACACGAAACTGAGTTCGAGGCTCGCTAGCCAGACCATAAACCACCGCTATGCAAACGACACACGACACACGAGTGGTATGTTTACTGCCACGCATTTTTCGTACCTGTGTTTTGCCAGGCGTTACGCCCGCAGCAGTGCGAGCAGCCAGACCCATGCCGATCAGGATTAGTACTAGTCGAGTGTGGTACGCTCAGCCACTGCCACTGCACTCAGTCCAAGTCTCAAGGTCAAGAGACTCCTCATCCGACTTCAGCCATTGTCTTTTGTCAGCCACAAAGGAGCTTGCAAACTAACTTCTGCGACCTAACAAAGAACAGTGTCATCTTGCCGAGAGGAACTCCTGAAGTTTCGCTGAGCAACTACAAAATTAATCTAATGAGTGTTCGCCTCTCGCTAGGCTTGCTCACAGCGTTGGTTTGGCTGCTTCTACGATGACTACATGGAACCAGCCTGCCATTGGCTATGCCCGCCAAGTCGCACGGCATGATCCTGGCTATATGCTCCATCCAAGCTGTAAATTGCCTGCATCGTTGACGGCCTTTGCGTCCTCGCGGACCAACGCCTGTCACAACATCTGTACACAGATAGTACAGCGGGCTGCAAATCGTCCGTGTCCTAACAGTAACAGGGACAAGGCTAGCCCCCATAGGGCCATACCCATTCTACTTCGATCTCTATAGTATCGATAGCCTAGCCGCCGCAGACCTGTACCTTGCTTGCTCTCAAACTCACGGCGTTTGCAACCTCCGGCCATGGCAGCAAACGCCACACTACAAAATGCTGCAGCACGCCGCTTCATCGCCGGCGAATGGACACCTACTGAAACACGGCTCGCCGGCAAGAGAGAAATAGGGAGAACGCGCTAACGGGACACAATCGACAACTGCCTGTCTCCGGGTGCAGGGTAGTGCGCAGGATCTGACCCGTCGACAGCATAGATACAGTTACTGAGTAGATCTACGCGCATCTCGTCAATCTTCTGACAGCTCTGGCGCAGCAAAGCCACGAAAGAGCACCCTGCGCTTTCACTTCGCCTCCAGTGAAAGATGGATGGTGTTGTACGCGGATAACTGAATCAGCAATGCTGATTGGATTTGACGAGAAGACGTGATAAAGCCTGGACACGTCCGTGGCCAACGAATCGAAAATGACAAATTTGCCTTCACTTTCCCATGCTCATCCCGCACTGCTACCATTTAACTTTGCCGCTTTGGTCGACGTCCAGAGGAAGATAAGGGTCGGTGTTTTCCCGTCACCCTATCGGTGCCATTTGACGGATTTAGAATCACTGCGACTGAGATGCTAAGTTGTGAATGCCTGTCAATGGCATCAGTAAAGGCATTGAGCTTACTAAACAAAAATAATTATTTTCTACTGCTTACCGTTCGATCCCACTCGTCGTTGTCATGAAGGGAGTTAGGCGATGCTGGGCCAGATCTGCCTGAATGTGTGTACGGGACTCGCTGAGCGAATGCTGCTGAGCTCACGAAATGCACAAAAGTCCGGGACCGCGAGCGATCCTTCTTGAAGGTGAAGAAGCAGTTGGTTTTCAGATGCGCACAATCCACCGTCTCTCCGAAAGGTTCATGGAACTGACACACGGGAGAGCAGGTTGATCCACTGTCAGCTGTGTTGTTGTGGTTGTTGAGATAGTAGCCAGCAGTTGTGCTGTTCTCCATCAGTCTAGGTTACAATGACCTGACTCCTGAGCATGACTCTGTGCACGTAACCAAGTGCTACAGTTAGTTGTGTGCTGTGATCCTCTGCACGACGGTGAGTCTTCTGGAGGAAGTGTCGCAGTTCCGCGCGCATACGCTGGCAGCTGGCAGCTCCCCACGCGCTAGTTGCCGACATAGAGTCACAGTCGTACACCCATTCAGTTTTGCAAGCAATCCGAAACACGTTCTCAGTCGAGTCGTACCTACACTACAGCCTGCACCATGCTGAGTTGCATCATGCCGTGAGTGTCCTTTCCGGAAAGCTCGAAGCAGAGATCGGGAGCTCTGATCTGGAGATCGAGAAGGAAGGATGGTAACGTGAAAAAGGCTCGACTCAAACATGATTAGAGCTGAGAAGTGACCTCGCGGGGCTCGCGGGTAGCAGTTGCAACCTTGTCCACATTACTTGCACGTGCAGTTCTACAACATAACACTGCAGCATCATCACAAACAACTTTTCTGTCAAGTGAGAGCAGATAGTTGAAGTTGGATGATTTTGTGGTCTTGTCTCTTCCGTCTCGGACGAGGTAATACCGGAATAGTGGGTCTCCCGACACGCTTGACGTGAAATCTGACCCTACTCGACCTCTTTGAAGTGTGTTAGCACGCACAATACCGCCGACGTTTTTTCGTGGCTCCAAGCAGCAAGCACCAGCTGCACCGGACCAACCTACCGGTACGCGGTTCAGCAGAGCTGGTGGTTTGGTACGCTTTCCAACGGCCGAAGAGAGTTGGAAAGCTTGGGTCTTTGTGGATAACTCGAAACAATTTGCGCTAAGACGCTGCAAAATCGCTCCGATTTTGGATTTCATTCCACAGAATGTGGTACCGACAAGATGCGGTCCTTGACCGCATTTCCGTCACTTCGCAGTGGCCTTTCTTCCGTTCAGTTTGTTCCCGCCCTCCCACCCCGGACTGAAGGGTGTTCATAGACATTGTGTTGATGTGTGTGGTTTTGCCTAGGGCAGTTACAACCGCGGTGTTTTTCTTTGTTGGTCTTTTAGAAAAACTTTAGGGGTGGTGTGCGCGTCGTGGGCTGTTGTATGGTTACATTCAGCTTCAGAGGGTTATTGACAGGGGATGAATTGGCATGGGGCAGAATGCAAGATTAAATTGCAAGATTGAATTGAAGGGTTGGGATTTTTCAGGGGTCATCAAGGCATTGTGTTAACTGAAGCTGGATGATGACCTGTGTGGTGTGCCGGTGTGAAGATGATGTGCAAGGGTGTTCTCTTGCGTTTCAGAGGTGTGAGTTTTTACATTTCCCTTTTGTTATGCCGTTGTTGGCGTGTTGTGTGCTGTGTAATTATCAGCGTTTTTGATTGACTGCTGTATCGATCGTTGATATATTTTTGTAAATGTACAAATAATTATAGGAAAAAAAGAAAGAAAGAAAAAAAGATTCTAAATAAAGGCCATTGCCGAGCCACCGTGCTCTCAGCAGAGACTTCTGTGTGTTGGTGTTGTGAGAGTGTACCACAAAGACGTGCAGTATCCAGTCAAATGATCGTACATGTATCTACGTTGTGCAGTTGTACTTGTAAACTCCAACAGTAAAACACAGCTGTAGACTGTAGAGATGTCAGTACAGTCATGTGCATGATTGTACCCGTGTACTGTCGTGGACATGGAAATCCGGTCGCACGTCTAGCGGCCACAGGGCGCTGTCCATGCAGCCGTAGCATGTATGCGCTGCTAGCTGTTGGTCGCATAGGCCAGGATCAACATGATTGTGCACTGCATGCAACGACTTACATGTACATGTACGTTCTGTACGCGCTGAGGGCGCCGGCCCCGGTCAATCGACTGGATTTCCATGTCTGCGACAGTACAATCATGTAGAATCTACAGTACACTGTACTTTACTGACTACTTGACACAATGTTTATTAGGAAAATAGAGATGTGAAAAACAAATACAATAATAATTTTATTATAGATTAGATGGAGCAGCAATGCAATGTCCAAGAATTCACTATCATGGGACAATGTTCGACATAATTATGTCTGTGAGGTACCATTCCGCTCAGGCTACTCTCAGCCGGGACAGAGTCGTGAAGTGACATCCTGCTGCGGCGGTAGTAACCACGCAAACAGGTGACTGCCCATCGCATAAGGCAGAATGACAGCCTGCAGCGGAGGTGACCCATGATGGCCGATAGGTGAAGGTCGACGTTGTTTTCCGCAATCAGGCACGCTAGTGTCTTCAGTTCAGGGACATAAAATTACTGACTACTGGGGCCAGTGGGGGATTACTGACTAGTACTGGTACTGATGTATCCCTCTTCACTTCCAGCGCACCTAGGCTCCCCCCCCCCCCCTACACACACACTCCTACCCATACACATGTGTGCATGTACCCCCCCACACACACACACAGACGGATACACAAACACACACGCACAAACACACACACAAAATACGTGTAAGTGTACATGGTCTTCCTGGTGCAGATGCTGGGCCAGCACAATGGAAAATACCTTCATCAAGAAGCTTGATCAAGTGTTGTGATAATGGCATTGTTTGTTTGTTTTTACAAAGAAGTGTGGGAAGGATTACAATGCGTTAGAATTCATAATTGTTCTTTGCCGGCTTGTACTGTGCAGACCAGAATGCTTCGCTATCAACTCCTGGCTTTCCATCGGCATGGTGTTCAGCTGCAGCGGCATCTGGTCCGGGGAGTTCAAGTTGCTGGATGGCTGCACTGACACAGGATGGGTTTGCATTGGTAATGTGATACGGCAGTCATTCCACATCATGAGCTACATGTTTATGTAATTTATATTGTCGCTCGTCCAGCAACGTCAAGGCTCTGCATGTAAACACAGGAGAACACCATAATAAAAAAATACTACTCAGGGGATAATACTAATTTGGATTATCAATTTCGTGACATTTATGAGTTCCTGTCTAAACTATGCCGTGATATTGATTGCTATCTGCTCACAAAGTACCTTGTATTGTACCAATACTCTGCCTAATCACTACCCTTCGCCAATTATTAGATTCACACAATATTCACAACGTATGCAACACGATGCTGTCTATTGACACTACTCGTACTCTTCTCCCGTTTTCATCTCCCTCTACCTTATGAATACTCTACATTACTGGTTTCGTTTCTACCCTTTCCATTGCTGCCAGCTCCCAGTCTTTTTCAATGCACAGCACCACCTTGAAATTTTTGTGATTTGATGTACACATACTTTGAAGTTGAAATCGAATTACATGATCAGATTTTTGTTCCACATTTTCTATTTACTTTTACTTCAAGCACAACCCTACCGATGAAGGGAAAGAAGCAGCAGAGAGACACCTACTGAGTCAAATGACTGCCACTGTCAGTTCTCAAACAAAAACAATTTTTGTCAAATTGAAAAATCTCACCTGTTAGTGTTGCTCACTAGCCACTAGTGACTCGAGTTGTTCGTCCACGAAATTTGCAATTATGCACTACGGTACCAGCAAGAGTAGGTAAGTTGGCATAGAACAACAGCTATGCACAGCCATGTTCATCTTCTCTTCACTTTGGAAGGCAGTACAAGCACCCCTCATACCTCGACATTGCCTTGGAGTGGAAGCAAATTCACCATGAGTTTTCCAATTCGCTACAATCGATCTCGGGGTGATGATCGTGTCTTCTTCATCCCCACTGCAGCCTGGACAGCCTTCGGGAAGACATGTGTCACTCTCCTGCTCTACAGATTCCTACATCTAGATTTGGTTACCGTCAGGGAACGAAATAGAGCTGCAAAACACCAAAGTAATTGTTTTCTTCCATTCAATTACACTGCTGAGCATGCACAGCATGGTGACAGCTAAGCAGTACGCACGTCATCAAGCCCAATTTCCAAATATGGAAGATGTTATTTATGAAATTTGACACGGTTCCTCTTCTCTGATCGGCTCGAGACATAGCTCATCGGAATCAGTGCCCAATTCTCCTTCGGATAAGCCATACTTATTTTTGGCGTTCAGTTTCCCTTTAAAGCCCGGGTGACAGACAGACTGAGTGCTCCCGCGGAGCACACAGGCATTAATTTTGTGGGGGGGGGGGGGGGGAGGGTTCGGCCATAAATCTAGCGCTGAGCCAAAAATCTAGCGTCGAGGTGTTGAAATTTGACAAGTAAAACCCATCAACATCAAGCCAAGGTTCCTTTTGAGTTTTGTAAATGGCAAGTACATGTACTAGACTCCTATACACCGTATAGGGATCGTACTGTATTGAAATTGGGGACCCAAGTCAAGATATGGAGATAAATGTTTGGTGGATTCTTCTCGAGCTCGAGTTCCGAATACTAGTGTCGTGTCCGTGTGTTTCTATCTGTATTGTATTCCGTCTGCTCAGTAGTATGTCTGGCCCACTCCGGCCCCGGTCATGACACTACACTGTGTACAATAATTATGTACATGTACATGTACATGACTGTACATGACTTGCCTACACTACATGTACAATGTACATGTAGTGTAGGCAAGTCATGTACAGTAGAACCTGTCGATGGGACTCACTATGACTCATAATAACAATAGTATGAGTCTACAATTCTACATGACTGTACATGTACATGTACATGTATGTATCCAGGACCTTGCAATGGTTGCTACGTGTGCATGTATGATGTTGACACAAAAGGCACAACGGAGGTTCAC